TTCATTTCATTGTTTTTTCTTTTCATTAGGTGTATAAATATTAAAATTTTGAGGTGTACCTACCACCACGTCATCACGCAACATACAGCTGTCCGTGTGAAAAGCATGCATTTTCAAAATGTTAACCGGCGATAGACAGGGATTGCCCTTGTGCCTTATAATGGGGATAGCGAAAGCGAGACGCAAAGTAAATTATATTCCCTTGAATCGAAAGTGTAATTCGTATGAAATAATCGGTATTTTTGGGATTCAGACTATTTCTCCGTTTAACATACCACTGATGATTGTTGCTTCGATCAAGTTTGGTGTCATTCTTTAATCCTCAGTCTGGTTCCGTTGCACAGCTTGGGTGGATTTAAGTTCGCATTAGTATTATTGGAGTTACTTATTTTAATGACAGTAATGTGGTGGGTTAATGACAAATTGGGAGGCATTTGAATACCTGACATAGCACGCACGATTATTAATCACTTTATAATTTATGTTAGTTTGTGTGGATATAGAACAAAAGATAAAAATATAAAGGCATTGCCATCCCTGTTATTGTTTATAACACTTTGCTAAGGGGTTTTGCTTAAGTTTACCTATAAGTGGAGAATTTAAACCTGGTTGAGTGCCCATTAATGCTGCGATAGGGGTTTAATATATTTGGACTTATCCAAAAGTAAAATAGTTTTCTGTGCAGCATTCTGTGGAAACAGTGTGGCACTATTTCAAATCATGACTAATACAGAATTTTGTGATTATTCAAACCTACAAAACAGTTGGTGAAATTTAATATCTGCTTTTAAATTACATTTATTTGTAAAGATTGTAGTTCCAAAACTCTGTCATTTGACCCCTTAAAACACTCTGGGGCGCAGCATTTTTGACGGATCTGCACCAAACTACACACAAACCATCCTTGAATAATGCCTAATAATGCCTGAAAGTTGCATTACAATCTGCCAAACGGTTTCGGAATCCATATGGTATATACATACATACATACATACATACTTCCATGTTTATAGATGTATTTATTTTTATTAACACCCAAATTTATCCCAATGATAACTGTTTTGGATAAACCAGTTATTTATTAATTTACCATATTAATTAAGGATTACACCATGTTATATCAGTCGAATCGATTGGTAATTTGAGATGGGTCCTGTTTTAGGGTAATAGCGAAAAGAGATAACTGAAAACTGATAACGAAATTCATTAAAAGAAAAGAAACATGTTGTGTTCAATGTGTCTTTCAGGTCATGTATTAGTATAATAGTGATTTCCTACCTCCTGGATTGCCATCTTGGACCATTTCATGGTTGCCTTTACTCGGTATCTCTGAGGACTAAAATATCCCAGCAATCTTTTAAATTTGTTACAAACTAATGAGTTGATATATCTAAACAAATAGAGTCACTAATTTGAAGAAAAATGTAGAACTAGTTATTCGTTGAAATAACAGTCTTTGGAGCGACTGAGTCAATCAAATTTAGTTCTTTATTAAACTGACAGCGTGTCTGATACTGGCATTGTGGTCCCAGGATATTGGGGATGCTCCCAGGACCTGGAGACAGTTGGAGATTCTTGGATAGTGTCAAGGTCGGCGTGATCGTCTTGTGGGAGTGCCGCTTCAACAAAGGAACTCATAACACTTGAGAGATTCTGTGACATGCAACGCGAGGTACCGTTAGTTTAACAGCTCTGAACATTCGAGTCCGACTAATAATTGCCTTAAACAGCTGTATAATCCAGGCCAAAGCTGTTATTCGGTCTGGCTAGGTGGTCTTGCACCTTTATGAGTGTAATTTGATTTTGTTCCGACCCGAAATCAGAAATTTAATTTATGATCTGTGTTTAAAAGTTTACCTTTCATCATCTGCTCACTGAAATGTCAAAATAAAATAAAATTTCTTAAAATATAAATCGTAACCAAAATTAATTTTCTGTGGGGTATTGGCTTTGTTGAAGTTCTTATTATTCTCTTGGACATCACCGCGAGGTTTTATCGAATGCGTTTCTCGAAAAACTGCAAAATCAAACTACTCTTGATGCTTTTTGTTTGATCTTTACTAAGTTACTTCTATGGCGTACGTGGAATATATGGACCTACTTCAGATATAAGCTTACTTTTTGTTTTGGCTATTCCTAGGTTTCTTTAAACTATCTATAAAACATTTAAGTATTTACTTGACAAGTAGGCAGCCTTAGGAGAATGATCATTAATAATTATTTACCCGTGCGCACCATAGTAACCAAGTGCTGATAACGTATGTAGTCCAAGAGGATGCGGATAAGGAGGAGGATGTTCTGGTCCTGGCGACACGACCATGGCAGTGAAAGTGTATTGAGTCATCGCGGATCACGACCGGGACCTGGCCAGGTGAATCACCCTATACTACACTATTACGTATCGTATTATACAGCGGCTGTGACATTGCTGCAAGGATAACATGAAAAACTCAACTGCTATTGCTAAACCTCAAAAAAGAACTAATTTACAGTAATACATGATAATTTTTCGTTGCATTAATTATCCCATCTGTCCTTTTCTGGTTGGTATCAACACTTGTAGTTAGGAAATTATTGTTGACATGTTAAGCCCCCAGAATACAATAATTAAGTAAGTGTTTGGTGAAAGGATAGGTTGTAACTCGGGTTTGCTCTTACAACAATACGAAGCTTTACAACTAGAAGCTGAATTAATTTGTCAATGTATGTAATCAAAATATTCCTCGCGATTATCAAAAGCTAATGAAGAAGCCGATTTTAGTAAGTAACAATGCTGACATCTCATTCATCATACTGTACACTCATCGTTCACCCATGCGGCGGGACCTGGTGTGTCGGCCTTTACAATATCTCCTTACCTCGGTCATCAGCAGTTGTGACCACATAGACTCGCTTGGGGCTGAATATAATTTTAATTCAGAAATATTGTGTATTATAAAATTTAATTTAGGACAAATAATAGTTATTTGAATTTGAATAAAGTTTTGAAGAAGCGTTTAGACTTCTCATTTAAACTCAAATTAAATATTAATCAGTAATTGGTTGAATCCTATAAGCGTATTAGAGAACCCCCAAATTAGTTTTAAATGCTTTGTTTAACTGTCTGACACCATCGGCATTAAACACTTTGAACGTCTGTTACAAACCGTCAATCCATTTTTTTAATAATAATATGTTTCCTTGGAATAAATAAAAAATAGCATTTACTGTGTTACATACTGCACACTTCCTCCTTTCTTCCTGCCATGTCGTGCCTGCTTACCTCGCCCCACTGCCCAGTCGAGGTAATGGCCAAAACCAATTAGACTACAGAACATTCGTGATCAATTTATGTCGATGTTTAAAGAAAGTGCTTTCCACGGTATTGCTTGCAATACTTTCTACTGCCAAAATTCGCAGCTATGCTACAACTAGCAACGAGGTTTCTTGACAAACTTCAGTGAGGCTTTGAAAATTAATTTTGGTGTCAGTAAGAAGAAATAACAATTAATTAATAGCCTATACTTAAAACACATTTTTAAATTCACAACGAATGGATAATTTTAAAAATTCCTCGTTAACCAGGTATTTTCCGATATTATTGATTTACAATCATCAATAAAATCGTTCGTTTTCCATCAGAAACCTTTTTCTAAGGATCGATTTATTTTATGCTTAACTTTAATTCAAGCAATTGAATTAAAAACCAGAAATAAGAGGAAATCCCAAGTCTACACTTGGATGATAAATATTTCCTCTATATCAGCATTGTAGTTGTAATGTATTTGTAATTTTTTTATAAACATGATGAAAACGTATATACTTGGCTTAATGTGGTTTATTTCATCTCAAATGCAACATAAAGCTGAAAAATATATTTTCAAAACACAAAACTAGAAATGTTTTTTATTTAAAAAATAACACACAAAAAATAATACTTTTCACTTGAAATAATCTTCGCATCTCAAATTAATAGGTTTGACTTGTAATGTATGATTGCAGTAATTGATTGTCTAATTATATTGTTTTATTTTATTTCAACATATAAATTACTTCTACAACTTAAAAATCAATAGAAGTTTTACGAATTATATTTTTTATGTTTTGTTATTTAAATATAAATCTTATGACTAGCTCACTTGATGCATTCCTGAGAATACTCTAAACCTAACTTATACAGGGTCATCCACACAATGAGACCACCAATGACATGTAAGAAAGAATTAGTGTTATCTTCAATAAGTAGCCAACTTCACATTAATTGTTATGACTATCAGGGGTTTAAGCTTTCAATGTTACCGATAAATTTCGATTTAGTATTGACCATTTAACTTTATTGTCTAAATCTCTATATTTAAAAGATACACATATTTTACAAGAACAAATAAGTCTAGAAAATCTGAATCCGTCATAATGAATAGGAGTTTGAACAATGCATTTCTAAAGTAAACATGGGTATTAAGAGGCTCATTTCAAGGGTTGTTTTAATACATTAACTTTAATATATTGCAGTTATTAGATAAGAAAGAATGTCATTTAAAATTTAAAAATTTTTCAATAGCTTATTTCAAGTATTTAGTATGTGATTCATTGCTCTTATAAAATGTTAAAGCTTGAAAGGTGCTATAAAAAATGTTTATGCCTTTTTATTACGTTGGAGTTATAATGATTTTGGGAGTAAATGTTGAAAGCTGGATGCTTCAAATTACAATGTATAAACAAATAGAGTACCGAATAAGTTTAATTAATAAATAATATCTGGACAAAATTTGGCACGGAAGATTCGGGATGGTAAGGAGCAAACTTATTTATTTCCTTCCCAAAATAATACTTACAAGACGTTGTATGTCCTACCAAGAGGTATATCATCACCGGAAACTGAATGGTCCTACACACGTTCAATTAGGCAATGGAGGGGGCCCGCGAAGTTAAAGCTCTGTGGCGGAGGGGAAGCGGAGGGGCGCGCCGTATCATGGGGAATGAGCGCCCGCTTTTGTTTACATAGGAGCTTTCTCCTATGACGGAAGGTGGAGGTGCCTAGAATAAAAAGGAACATCTGAAGATTAACCATCACACTTAAGGTTCGGTTATCGCAGTGAACGGTTGTGTACGGTAGTTGTAGTGATGAAGGGAATCAGCATGTTTCTGTTGGTGTTGGTGCCGCTGGCTAGTGCGGCGGTGGCCGATGTCCGCCCAGAAGACAACGAAGTGTACGGCAGGAGCGACCCCAGCTCTGGAGGCACCACTTGGAGGCTGGTGTCCAAGGTCATGTCAGAGTGCGGCTCCGAGGATGTCACGGAGGTCATGAACTGTCTGGGTGTCAAGGCGGTGGCCGTCCTCGACCGTGCAGCGAGGATGGGTAACATCGAACTGTACTCCGGAGTGACCCTCGCTAAGAACTCCGAGTACCAGGAAGACTCCAGGAACGGACGAGCTCTTCTCAGTGAGGCTGAGATCACTCAGAGCCTCCCTCAGGACCCCAGCCAGAGGACATCCCGTCTCTTGGACCTCCTGTATGACGCCACTGTCAGGTTCCTCCAGTCTCACACTTTCCAGATGAAACTGCCCCAGGGAGCCCCTGAGTCCATATCCCGCGCTCTGGAAGAAGGTATGCAATAATCATTGCCTACTTCATAATGAGTTATCTCACAAAATACCATCAGTGTGGATGGTTAAGTTTTAAAAATGTGTTATGTGCCTACAACTAATTTTATTTATGTGAGGATCACAACCACGAAGTAAGTATAGTAAGTTCGTATTATTAAATTTCCTCAAAATTAATTCGTAGCTGGTTTACAACAAAGTTATCACTGTAATACGTTCTACAATCCTTAAACACTGGAACGTCTGTTTGAACACACAATAGTAAATCTTTTTAAAACGGGTACGTAATAAATAAACCACCATTTGCTGTTACAGAGCACCATTATGATGGTGTTCTATGTGCTATGGTGGTGCGATAGCATTCTCTAACTTTTAAGATTCGTTGTATGTGTTTCAATTTAAAATTCCTTGATAATAAAGATTATTGTACCCCTGATTTGTCGAGTAGCAAATTCAAATAAGTATTTGCAATGTTCTAACACGATTTAAAGTCATAAGACATTATTGATTACCAGCAATACAAATCACCTCAAAATTAAATCATAGAATATCCCAGTCACCGAAGCAAATTCCATAAAGTGCAAACTAATGAAGCCTCAATAGATTAATAAAGTTTGAAATATTCATCAATGAAAGATTAGTGATTAATGATCAGTTGGCGAGAAAGTTGAGTCGATTACAATGGCGTTGCCCTACTTAGAGTTGTCTCTGATATCATGCGGCACTAAAAGGTTTGTGATGTGCGTCACAGGAAAGGCGGAGACTTAAACGAGGGTATGTGCGAAAGACTCACATGAGAAGCCGTTAGTGCGTAGGTCAACACTTAGCCTGGCTGTGCTAACACAACTGTCCGTTAGCACTTGACACATTAGTGGGCATGTTTAGACACTGTCACTAACTGCCACACGGTAATTTGTCAGTGAATAGGTGTACTTCGTGAGATGTATATGTGAGTGATCATTTTCAAACTTGTAAACTCAAACTGTATACTAAAACAAAATGATAATTATTTTAAGTTAAATACTATAGGAAGCATCACGAAAAAAGGAATCAGACGAAACGAATATTATGAGATTACAAATAATTGTGCTGGCCGACTTTAGCTATTATTAGCTATAATTTAGCTATTCTTCACAAAAATCTCAACTACTCATCCTCAATAGTTAGTTGTTATGCATAAACTTTTTAATGTATAATTTTCACATACTTTTCACATACCAAATTTGTATGGTCTAATATTAACTCATATTTGTAAGTGTGAAATAATTTTCAACGTAAAAGATCTCATAAGCCTAGAGTGTGGAAATACCTCTAGAAGGCGTTATATCCAGCCACAAGCAATTCCAATGTCGGGAGGACAAGGACCTCTCCAGCCAACTATCAGAGAAAGTGAACGGATTAGTCTCTGTTACATCCGGAAACTGGTTGCCGATGAAAGTGAAATTCTACGTAATACTCACCGGGTTTATTATCTTGCAGGTCGTTTGAAACCTGCTGTATCCTTTTAGAGGTTACTGCTCTTTCAGACATCGAATTCGAGGTGTAATTCAAACTCGTGAACATCTTTCTTCTGGAACTTATGATATTTTGGCAGTTTTAACAGAGCACAAGTTAATGGAAACTGTGTCTATATAGTTTAACTAAGTAATTAGCCATAATGTATTTAGTGGATTGGGGTTTGTACTCTCTGCAATAAAAAAATTGCTTTTTCCTAGTTGTTCATAGCACTCCAGATTATATAAAAAAAAAATACATAAGTAGAATTTACTATGTTATTTTGATCGTTCGTCGTGGACAAGTGTGTAATTAAACAACTAATTATAACCGTGTTCAGGCCGTGGCAAGCTGAAGAAGAAGATCTTCCCCCTGGTAGCTCTGGTGGGTCTGAAGCTGTTCGCCGTCATCCCCATCATCCTGGGAGTCATCGGTCTGGTCGCCGCCAAGGCTCTGATCGTCGGCAAGCTGGCTCTCATCATCGCCGGTGTCATCGCACTCCAGAAGTTCATCGCTGGTGGTGGCTCCACCGCTTTTACAAGCTACGGAAAGATACCGGTAAGAATATTTTATTTATTTATTTATTATTTTAAGGAAGGAGACTAGTTAAGCCATAAATATTTGAAACAATTAACAAACTTTCATTCACTGTAGGAAATAGTTGGCTTTAAAATTTGTCACTTTAAAATTCCCAATTTTATTTAACTTGTATTTTTTCAATATTTCAATTATTTTCAAGAAAAGTTTTAAATAAGCTCTTATACTAGGTTTAATATGAACATTCGCTTACGTTAATTCATTCGACTGGCAGCAAAGTTTGCGCATATCCCCACGGTGGTTCCGAGGCATTTCTTTAAGTAAAGACCATGACCAATGCAGACCGAGTTTATTGTTTAGAAGATCTGAAAACAAGCCACCTCATTATTGGCCGTGTCGAGAGTTCGCTGTTTCTTAACCGTTAATACTATGTCCACAGTTCTCTGGCGGTTATGATGCCAGCAGCGGCTCTGGTGGTTGGTCTTCTGGTAGCACCGGTGGTTCTGGAGGCTACACCTACAGACGCAGTCTGGACGACGAAGCCCAAAAGCTTGCTTACAGCGCGCACGCCCCCCAGGATATCTCCAACTAGTCCAACACCATCGACCATCCTAAAACTTGCACATTGTCACTCCCTACAGCCGAGCCAACCTCTCAGTTACCTCTGCCTTAGATACTTCTACTCATCCGTTCACTCTTACTACCTTTTGTATATAGCATCTTTACCATTGCAATACCATAATCTATTTTCATACTCTGAGACAACACAATTGCAAAACTATCGATAATTGTGTAAATTATTGTAAAACTCAAAGAGTTGTTGTTAGTACTTAGTGTTAATTTATTATTTCCCAGTGTTATTTATTGATTTTTCTATTTAAATAAATGTTGTTGAACGAATTTCTCTTTTGTTATTTAGTGTTCCTTATGCAATTAAAATTATAATTAAGTACCTCTTCGTAGTCCTAGATTTAAGTAAAGTAGATTTATTAACTAATCGTTGATTTTGATTACCATGTAGGCAATTGGAATTTGAACTGGACTGTAAAATATTTCAAATTGTTTGATCAATCCTTAATGTGTCAAAACAAGCTCTAACATTTGTAAACATAAATTTAAATATTGCTTATGCTTATGCTTTACTTCGCTATCAATGCTTATTGAACAACAATTGACAATACAACAATTGAAGTAATAACCATTTTATAGTTGAGAGCATTTTCTTTCCATATTGCTAAATCACAATTATAAATTGAAAACATTCTTTTCCTACAGTCACCCGACAAAGAGGCCTTCCTTGCACTGATTATAGTACAGAAAGCTGCTAATTGCTGCATTTACTTATTTGTTGCACACTTTTTAATTTGTCGCACTGTTTTTACATTATCGCACACCAGTATTCCAACCAAACAACACAAAATAGCATGCTTTTATTAGGCACGTAATACGTTTACGCTTGAAAAAGTTGGCAACACTTGATTATACGACTACGATCGGCTGGTGAAGCGTTTCCCATTTTGTTCGATTTTGGGTTTAACCTAACCTAAGAACGTGTTGCACAGTGTTTGGAAGACTAATAATTGTTTATATGCTTTATAGTAACTGTATAATGTGTAACGCGAGGGCAAACTGCCGTTACACAAATAACTATTCTTCAACAATTCTAGTAAAAAAAATATTTTTCCTACAAAAGTTTATTCTTAATGATAATTACATAGTTGTATACGTATATAAAGAAAAACATACATTGTCCGTCTTCAGTCCGTTTCGGGTCATAGTTTTAAGCTATTCGTTATTTATGAAAAGTTGTCAATGATTAGTATCTTATGCTTCCTTACGGAGTGGAATTTCAATTGAAAAATATTTATTTGCAAAAACAACAAATTCGTTAAATGTAGAGCCACTTATCTACCATAAATTTTTTTGAGATTGACTGACGGATTTCTGATTTCCAGTTTAGGATTAGTTTTCCCCGTGATTTACCATCCACAGAACGGTAGCTATAACACTCCTTTTATCTATGCTATAACTCATCTGATCTCACTGATATTAGCCAAACGTCCAAGCAATACAAATTTTACATGCAAATCTTAACTTCCCTTTGAGTTTATCCTATTTAAATATGTAATAGGGCTGGCCGCTGGGTAAATATATAGAATTAATATATGTATTTAGGACCGAAATACGGTGTATTTAGGTCTTTATCGTAGGCGTCAAATGTTTTTGACAATATTAATCTGCAGTGTGCCTTACAACTTTCATTTTCTGCTCTGTTAGTTGCTAAGCTATCCTGCAGGCATGATTAGATGAATGTTATTCTTCATAATAAGATTTGACAAAAATGTTATACAACTGCAAAAATATATATATGCGGGTTAAAATACATTTTTTCTACAAAACAATATATCTTCTATTTCTAAAATGCATTTTTATTCAATTCTGATTCCTTCATGCACATTAAGAGTTATAAAACGAATGGAATCATCTGAGGAGTAATTTCTAGTTCCTAGATTCATTGTAAGGAATGTTATAACTGTTTTGATCCTTGCTACTAAACAAGCTGATTAATAAACTATTTGTTCCTCTATCACGATAACATTGAGTTTGTATAATTTTTCATCATTATAATAAATAATTTAACAATATTTTTGTTGATCAAAAGATTTATAAATAATACAGGATGAACAAGTCAGTTTTTTTAACTATTTCAGTTCTATGTATCACATGATTACCTTATTTTAACCAAACTAAACTTTGTTAAGATATTTTTTGAGTTCGGGAAAGTAAAAGCTTTCGTGGATAATGCGACAAAAATAGAATAGTCAAAAGAACCTAGCCTAAAACTCATTATGACAAAAAATAATTTTAACTGGGCCATGCATGTCATAATTATTAATCAAACGACTACATTTGTATTTAACCTGTTAAACATCCTTTAAGTCATTATTGTTCAACCAAATTAATTTCATTCAGTTTACACTGGAAAGGCTTAACATGGCGGACCCTCGGCATGGCTTCATTGCCGTATCTCGCCCGTAGTTCCCACATAGAGAACCGCAAAAGGTCGATGTCCAGGCAGGCTAATGATGATGATGACGATGACTCGAAAGTTTCCTACTACCTGTCTGTCTGTCTGTCGTGGCTGACTGCGACCTTATTGAGTCGTTAGCTTGAGTTTCACAGTAATAATGTTGACATCTGACAGTCTGCGAGATGACGAATTGTACATTACCTCGCTTGCAGTTAAATGCATAAAATGAACATCTGCAATCAGTCATCGAGGCTTGCAAGTTGAATTGTATGCCTTCATTCTTAATTTACAATCAAATCATGTGTTGGAGGCTCAAGATAATTTTATTTACTATGCTACACACAGTGAATTGTAATTGCCTCATCACTAACTGCTCAATCGTAAAAGGAACTATTTTTTTGTGGGACACTCGACCCATATTTAAAGTTTGTCCTTGAAATTAGTGAATGGTCAAAATAAAATGTCAGCAATTTTAAATATTGAGATCCATATCGAGATTTAAATCTCAATGAATAACTCCGCTTAACCAACGGAAAGGGCCAGAAGGAGCCAGAAGAGTTGCAATAAAAATGGTTGAGAATTGGGTATCAGTCAGAGTAAACTATTTGTCCTATGAACTGGAAACATTTCGCAAATGTAAATGAATCGTGAAAAAATAAATTTTGTAAATGAGACAAATCTATTTTTTTTTTATAAGTTGCATTATTACTTAATGACTCTAAGGAAAGAAACAAAATTAGAAATATGGAGAGTCCATTAGATAGAACAGATTTAACCTTAAGATTATATTATAATATTTTATCTATCTACAATATTAAAATTGCATTAATATTGTATTCATTAATACAGGAAGTCCCACGACAAGTCTTTCTGTTATCCTGATATTACCTAGATGGAATCTTATAAACCCATTAATCTTTATGAATTGAAACGTTGGCTCTCCAAACAAATATATTAACCAATAGTTTAACAAGAAAATAAGATATCTTGAAAAAACCAAAATTAATTTGGAAAATTAGTGGATCAAAGGAGTGGAGGGACAACGGAGCAAGCTCAAAAGTCCTATAAAAAAATAGAAAAATATTTTAAAACACCTATTTATATCTACATGAAACATAATAAAACGAATAACAATGCGATTTATTATCTTATTCAATTCAATTTAATATAGATAAATATCCAAAGCCAATGATGAACAACTTTATTAATCATTTATATGTTACTGACATCTGTTGGGGAGGATTTTCGAAAGTCAAAATCCTAGGCAATACGCTCTCCCCCTTCCCGAGAATCTATCCCAAAGCTTTTATGCTTTGGAATGACGTCTTTGTAATACATTAATAATACGTTCTTAATCCTTAGATTACCTACTTAATATTTAGCTTCCTATTAAGAAATACACTATTTTAGAATATGCTAATACGAACCTTCCTCAAAGTTTAAACAAAAAACTTAAAATATCCTACCTATCTTTGTTTTACTCTCAACCACATCTTTCCATTACTTTATTTTGATTGACTCGGAGCTGAGGACTTGAAGACAGTGCTCTCCAGCTGAATCCACCCTAACTGTCTGCACCTCACACTCTGCAATACAAATGACCATGAACTTCACTTCGCCGCCATTGATCAGCTGTTTGTGCATTCTCAAGCCGCGCTGCCGCTACCGTCACTCTGCTACCGTTTCGCGCCTTTCCGCCTAATGATTATTTATGACCAGTTGTGATCGTAAACAATCACAATGTAAAATGTAAAAGATCAAGGATAGTGCGCCAAGTGGGTAACTATTGACTGTTGGATTTAATATTAATGATTACAACTGAACGGGCACTTATGCGATTTGTGGATTTTTACAAGCCCCTGGTTCTATATGTGTTGTCCATATTTTGGCTTGATGAGTTGTTCTTCTGTAAGATGTATTGCAGCCAATTTTTATCATACATAAATATTTAACTAATTTATCTTCATTCTGGTAAATGCAAGGAGCTTTATTTGTATGGTAAACCCCCATATTTGTTTTCCTCAGAAATTGTCACTTTAACAGCCATAAACTATTTTGTCCTGCATGAAAACCACAGTGTTTAAAATTTAGGGTTTGGAACGGCAAGAGGTTATAAATAATCATAAATACATGGAGTTAGTTAAGTTAGAGCTTTTAAAAGTGAATGTTCCATATTAACATTATATTTGTAGTACCAAACAAGAACAAAGTCTGCAATGACTAATGACAATGATTTAAATTCTTAACAAACCTCCTTAGATACAGGTTTTGTAAATCAAAGCAACCTAAACAACAAAAATAGCGTACCTTCAGCCAAAACATGGTATACCGATTACTGAACAGATACAGGATTGACGAAAACGTCAAGTTATTACGTTACGTCACGTTGATTCAATACTCATGAGCAATCCAAATTTATTTCCATAGCAAAATTATTAATTTCTAAGTAAGCCTATGTATGTTGAAGATTGCACTACTCACTCAATCAATACCTATAACGTTTTAAAATACGCTTTAAAGAAAATGCTTGAACTATACTCTAAAACATGCATATATTTACAAAATACGCCCTGGTATTTCTTCACAATGAATTCTTTTGGGCCTGATTGGGTTTGATAATTCGTCCTTGCCAAGGCCCATTGCGGTGATGACAAAGCAGGACACGAGCAGCCTACCATTGTCTGGTCACTTGGTCATACGGGGTGTGAGAACGGAAGACTGACACAGAAGGCGTACGTCCAACATAACTCTGCCAGAAACTGCGGTTGGCCTCGCATAAAGTCGATGGAAAGGTTGTAACACTACCATTTACAGTTGATGACACCCCGCGGTCAGTGCAATGTGGAGTGTCCGTCTACACTTTGCCGTGCTGTTCGTGTGGGCGAGTATCACCTTGTGCTATGGAGCGACGGATCCAGGAAGATCTGGGAGACGAGGCAGCAGCTTATCGTCCATACAACACTTCATATATCCGAGGACAGGCCGGCTCTTCCACGCGGACTATGTGAGAGACAACGAGATCTTCAGGTCATTGGAAAGGACCAACTTCATGAGAAGAGGACCTTTTGCAGAAAGACAGGGAAAGGTTTATGATGGTAAAGTAGAGAAAAAGAAACATGTGTATGTTCGGGGTGGAAGAATACCTGTGGAAACCGAGAAAAGTGATTTACTAAAGGATACAAGCAGATCGAACGCTGTGTTATTCAAAGTGAGCAAAATTGTAGTAAAAGATCCGGTGCTTGCTGGAGAAAGGATCAAAAGAAGTGCAGATTTAGATGACAGGGATATGATTCAAAATTCATCTGCGGTTGGTCAAAAATCCCCTCCTATGTATTTAAATAATCTGGGACAGACAAATGGAAGTTCAACAGATAACAAAGGCAGTGGACACAGTGAAGGCGGAATTCCGATCATTACAGAAAATAAAGTTGACTGTGACAACAATTCAACATCAAAGAACAACGATACCGACAAAACCTTGTTCGTACACGACTCCGCAGGAAGGACACCAGAAGTTGGGGAAGGCAGTCTCATGAAAAAGACCGTAGTGGACGACAGCCTAAAGCTCTACCCTGTGTACCGAGGAGTCAAATACTACTACCCTCAGACTCAACGTAAGTACGTACTTTCTAATATTCAAAGCTCTCAAAACCGTGTTACTACAAATCCGAAATTGCGTAAAAAATACTATCAATGATCAATTACTCCTTCTACAAAAATTCAGTTTTGCAATATTATGTTAGTGTGGCTGGTACCGATACTTTAATTGCATGCATACAAAGCTGGAATTTTGATAACAATACCTGGCATTAACAATAACTGTGGGACATTTCTGAATGTACGTCACTTCAGTAATTAATAATTGTATCAATTTCGTAAGGTGAACTTCAACATTTCATCCCCATGTTAAATTTGTAGACAGTTTTTTTACCAAAATCGTCGTAGTTGATGTGAGCCACCGACAGATTGTGCTGATTTAAATTACTGATTTCTGTCGAATACACCATCTTTTTTACCAATCCAAACTAATGGAATGACTTATTGTGATCTATAGCAACTGCATAAAAAATAAGGTAGGAATTAGAGTTTTAGTCACTGGCACATTCTGTGACAGTCTCACACAACTACGTTATTTTTAAGCAAACAAATTTGCTACAGCTGGTCCATATAGATGGGACGTCTACCAATAGTCAATGTTCAAGCTAACGGGTCAAGTTGTCATCACATAGCTAACCCATTGAGTTTGGTGAGCGTCCAGAACCCCCACTCTACCAGCCGTGCAACATGACACAAACACTGTCAGAGAAGGGCAACAAAATACATTGTGACTGTAGGGACAAATAATAAAAAAAAAACTATTTAGTTCCTTCCTTTAAGAGTATGACAGTAATGTTAGCCTTATGCTAATCTACTTAGGTATTTTTCATTTAACAGTTCTTAGTTTGTTCAAATAAATCTATAAAAAGTTGGCTGGTCAGATTTCCACTAAAATAGTCCTTTAAAAATGTTAGATTTATTCCCTATTTAAATAAAATTAGGCTCAATGAGTAGGTTTGGTATTGCAAGGAATGTCATAAAGTGTGTTTATTTTTTTATCTTAAAGGAATACATTTATTTACCTAATTTGACCAGAGCATATCCCTAAATAAAATCATTTTATTATAAACTATAATATTTACATATTATCTATATGATCAACATGTGAATTTCATATTTATAGTTTTTTTTATGTTCTCCGTAACCATTAGACGTATGACAACCCTACAAAATACTAAATTATTGATATTTTTGCTCTACAATACGGTTTGGAAAGAAACAAAAGTTTTATTTCATATAAAACCTCATTCCGACATCAACTCGAAAAAGTAAAGTGATCCCAGGTCTAGGTCTTGCCATGAGACCTACGGTAATAACTTATCCTCCATATAGGAAATTATCACAAAATAAACTGATAAAATTGAATTTGTAGACTATAGCGATCATAAATTCTAGAAATGAAGGCATGAACTTAAAACAAAATATAAACTGATTAAGATCATTTCTACCAGACGTGGAATGAAATCAGATTATTTCATTCCATCTTCTCTACTACTTTACCACATAACATTGCATTTCAATTTAATCAACATATGTAAACACTTTTAAATATAATAACTATTAACACCTTTTTCGTCCAACCATCAGTTTAAACATTCATACGAAGCACATAAATATCACATATCTATTATTTAGACCTGGGGACTAACTCTAATGTATTACAAAACACTTGTATTTATATAAGATCATTTTTAATTATTTAATATTTAGTGGCCATATATGGTGCGCATGGTGTCAAGATCGAATTTAAATTAGTTTTAGCAGTAAAAACTGTTCCTTAATGAATAAAAACCTTTCTCACCTGGTTATATGAATAAGATCCCAAACGTTTAAAGTTATTACGTTTACCCATTATTAAAATTACTGAGAGGAAAAACTTGTCATTTCGTTGTGTAAAAGATCATAGAGTGTTTAACCTGCAACACTCACATATTTGTACTTGTTATGTATTGTTGATTTACTGGTTGTTTATCTGCAGGTCGACTGGTGTACTCTCCTCAGCTGACGGTCAGCATGGACGTGCCCGTGGTGACGGAGGCGGAGGACGAGGGAAACACCACCTCAGGGCTGCAAGAGGAGGGTGAGTGATGTTCAACTGTTACAACGGTTTGTCTAAGGCGGGGTATTTCTGATAACTCTCGATATTTCTGATAAGGTGTGTGGTGCAATTAAGTATTATATACTGTAGACATCTACATTTATGAATCAGCTGTAGCCAAAATGTATCTATATCTATAAAAGAGGAACTATGTATGTATGTATATATATGTGTATATACGTTATGGACTCCAAAACCGCTCGACAGATTGTAATGAAACTTTCAGGCATTATTAAGCATCTTTCAAGGATGGTTCGAGTGAAGTTTGGTGCAGATCCGTCAAAAGGGCTCTGTCCCATAGGGTTTTAAGTGGGCCAATGTCAGACTTTTTGATCTACAATGTTTACAATCTATATCTATAAAAGAGGAACTATTTATGTATGTATATATATGTGTATATACGTTATGGACTCCAAAACCGCTCGACAGATTGTAATGAAACTTTCAGGCATTATTAAGCATCTTTCAAGGATGGTTCGAGTGAAGTTTGGTGCAGATCCGTCAAAAGGGCTCTGTCCCATAGGGTTTTAAGTGGGCCAATGTCAGACTTTTTGATCTACAATGTTTACAAATAGATATAATTTAAAAGCAGATGTTTACTTTCACCAACTGTTTTGTAGGTTTGAATAATCACAACATTCTGTATTAGCATTTATTTAGTCATGATTTGAATTAGTGCCACAGTGTTTCTACAGAGTGCAGCACAGAAAACTATTTTACTTTTGAATAAGTTCAAATGTATTAAACCCCAATCGCAGCACACCTGTGCACTCAACAACGTTTAAATTCTCCAATGTTAAATATTAAAAAAATAAAAACCTTTATCTAAGTATTATAAACAATAAAAGGGATGACAATGCCTAAATATTTTTATCTTTCGTTCTATACCCACACAATCTAACATAAATTATTAAGTGGATAATATTCATGCGTGCTATCTCGGGTATTTAAATGCCTCTCAATTTGTAATTAACCCACCACATTACTGTCATTAAAAGAAAGAACTCCAATAATAATGCGAAACTTAAATCCACCGAAGCTGTGCAACGTTACCAGACTAAAGATTTAAAAAATTACATCAAAATTGATTAAAACAAAAATTATCAGTGGTAGGTATAAGGGAGAAATAGTCTAAATCCCAAGAATACTGATTTCATCCGAATTACCCTCTAAATTTAAGCAACTGCAATTTCCGTAGTTTCTTGCTTTCGCAATCACCATTATAAGGCACTAGGGCAATCCCTGACAATCGTTGGTTTAAATGTAGAAAAAACATGCTTTTCACACAGACAGAAGTATTTTGTTAGCGCAGCAATGCGTGCCGGGTAACTGCTAGTTATTTATAAAGCGTTGTTGAATGATTCATTGATATCTACTTATTTATAAGCAAATACACTGGGAATAAGACTAGTAAAGCTTATTGACTGGTAATGAATTTTAATATTTTAATTACCGTACGACTTGAATTGATAACATAACAAGATGGCTGAGGCTGATGAGATTAGACCAAACACACCAAACATGACCTTTTAGGGTTGGTAGACATTACATTAATGTTTATCTTATGTGTGCTTAAATAACAAACGTGAAAGTAGGTATATTTGTCATTTTTACTGGTATGGTGTGTAAGAATGATGAGCTTGAGCTCAACGATTAGAGAATATTCCATATCCCACGGCAGACGTCTCGAGTGTAATATCTGAAAATACCTTCATGGTACCAAGTATGGGGGACCAAGTATTAAACTTTGTTTGTATAAAATACATTCCAATATTAAAAGAACACAGAAACAGGAACGCAGTTTTTGTATTAGATGTTATAAATAAAGTAATAGATGAATAACTACAACAGCAATAAATTATTTATTTTCTGAATAAACCAGTTCGGTAAAAATTATGAATATCATACGGTACATTCAGCGTTTTCTGCCGTGCACTAGTTGTTTGCATGCCTTGTTATCACACAAAGGCTTGAGATTCTAAGGTAGTTCAAAATGTTATTTTTAAAGATGTTTTTAAATGACTTTTTAAATATTTGAATGCATATATACGTTAATTTGAGAACACTTTGTATTTTAATAAAATCTATGTGTGCGATGTTTTAAGAAATCATCTCTTGAATAACGTAAAATGTTTTTAGACTATTATTCTCGTGGAAGATTTATTTTACTACAATTTATCGACATATTTTATTTAATTTTATTTTGCATTCGAACTCAATCAAACTGCCAATGGCCAAATGTAATGTTTTAACCCCCGGCATGGAGAAAATATTAATTACTTGTGCATATAAATTACTAGCAGAGTACCCGTCCTTCGTACGGGGTTAGCATTTGAGTTTAAAATGCTTATTGCAGTTATACTCAAGCTTTGCGTTTGCAATGGGGGAGGACAAAGTTTGATAAAATTTGCTTCCTTAAATTGACGGTATACTATGGTACATCTTATACCTAATGTTCTAATACTTCACCTTAACAATTAATAAAGAAAAATAAATTATTACAAATTCACAAATTATTCATGGCATTAAAAACTTAAACATAACTGTAAACAATCATACTTTTGACAGTTCTCATTGTGTATCACAGTTTTTTTGTTGCTGCTTAGTTCAAATTAGCTGTTTACATAAATGCAAAAAAAATTATAGTGCTGCACCCTGTTGGTAAATCTTATAACTTGTTAATGCTTTTGTATTCATAGAACCAACTTTTTTAGTTGAAACAGCTGACTAAATTCTTTAATTCCCTTTAAATATGAATACTCATAAGGTTAACATGGGGAACTACAGAGCCACTGGGGCGGAGCCCGAAAGGATTTTTGAGATAATAATATGCCTATATGTTAATCGGGAATGTGAGCTATCATCATGCCAAATTTCAGCCCAATCAGTCTAGTAGTTTATGCGTGATTGAACTTCAAACAAACAAACAAACAAACACACAAACTTTCACATTTATAATATTAGTAAGATAAAATATCAGCACATTCTATATGGTTTGACACGTTGTCTACGACGTGATAATATCAAGAGAACGACGATGAAAACGAAAGCAAACGGCAGACATATACCTCATTCGTCCCATACTTCTTTTCAATTTAAAAGTATTGTTAATAATTTATTATAATCAGTCTTTTGCTTCAGATTTCAAGCAATTTTTTTGTCAAATAACTAATACAAAAGTTGTGTAATTATTTTTTTTTACGGAATGATAAAATGTTTCTAGGTATTCAAATACAGTGAACATATTAATGTACCATAATCGTATTGCGTACCAAATAATATGGGGCGTTTGTACTCTAGCCCACATTTAAAGTACCTATTACAGTGGAATAACGGTTATTATCGATGATTATACAAAACAGACTTGTTAAAAGTGAAACGTACCTCTTAAGCGATTACTCAAACATGTCGGGCAGTTAGGTACTCATTGCAGCATTGTCGTAGAGGTGTTACCAACATTACAACAGTCACACCAAGTACCAACTGTGAAGAGCGAAAGTTTTAAGCTTATGTTATATGTATGACATTGTAACACTTGTATAATCATAACATTCGTTGTTTAACATAATGACAATCCAGGTAACGGCCAGGTGAGGTCGTCAGTCGTGACATTACACTATCACAATATTATATCCCACTATAGTGAGATAAGGGGATATAGACAGACCCAATAACTGTTTTTATGTGAATGATAAAGTGATACTGCTGAGAAGTATGCGTTGTAAAGCCCCCAGACAGTAAGTGGGACAACACATACAAATTATGAACAAGCAACACATTTGACCCCTATTTTGTCCGTTAATTGGTCTCATTGAAGGAACTTCACGGTCAAAATCCGTTACCCACTACGTGAGCTTTATTTTTTTCCAATTACACTTCTATAACTTATTGAATCCTTTTATAGGTAATAAATAAATAAAAATACAATATTTAGAAAAGGTTTTTGATCACACTCCATATAAATTTGAAGAAAACAGAAATAAGTAGAATAACTACTGTACATTTTAAGCTGTTCGAGAAGTTTGGTTGGGTTAGGTTAGGTTAGATTAGATAACACTGTTCTAACCTAACCTAACCTAAAATGGCCTCTCAGTAGAAATACACGTAAAACAGATCTTTATGAAAAAACTATAAAATAACTTTTGTTAAATTTCGTTTTGTTTTCGACCAATTCAAATCCTAGTACCTAAAGTTGTTGTGTGTTGTATATTGAAAAAATTTCGTTTGTTTAAGGTTCTAAGTTTTAAAGGTTTTACATAAACCTTTTATACTTAGAAAGTAACTTTGACTTAAGAACCGTTCAGTCTACAGCAAAGAATCCTTGTTGTTCAAAATCGCCTATGATTGATTAGTTAATAAAATAAAACAGTCAAAGTGTTATTCCATTCATTAACTTGAACTCCATTAAGAAAAAAAAAACAAACACACTCTATGACATTCCTTGTAGTAGCAAACCTACTTACTGACCTTGTGTTATTCAAATAGGAAATAAATCTAACATGTTTAAGGAACTACTTCATTGGAAATTTGACCAGGCAAAACATAATAAGATTATTCAGCAGGTTTGCTGCTGCGGGAGTATTTGAAACGTTTTATAGATTTATTTTAACAAGTTAAGAACTGTTTGTTATATGAAAAATACCTAAGAAGATCAGCCTGAGGTTAACATTACTGCCATTACTGTTAGGTGAAAGAACTAAAAAGGTTTTTGACCATTCGTCACTACAATCACAATGTATGAATAGTTAAAACATTTAAAGAGAAATCATGACTACAAGAATTTTTTTACAGTGTGATACATCTGTAGAAATAATCACCCCCATTAGACATTTTGAAATATTTTGATATACCCAAGCTTGTAGAGTTATTTTTTTTTTATTTGTGTATCCGAGTCAAAATCAGGAAATCTAGGAAATTAACAACATTTAAACTCTTTCCATAATTTAAGATTCAAATTCGTAATAGTTTTACATGTTTAGCTA